ATTTATCTTTCTCCTTACTATGAGATATGGTTAAATGAAGAGATAATATATATGTGCCAATATTAAAATATAAAATAAATTGTGATAATTTTTCAACTCCGAACTTAATTTATTTTTCGATCTGGCCAATTGAATTGTTAAAATATGTTGAGAAACATATGATCCGGGAAATGAAGTATGAGTTTTACAACAGAGTGAGGATCACATTTGATTCCATGAAGGAGAATTTCGTTCATGGAATTAAGTGTAAATAAATAGGGAAATATACTTTATTTGGTGTAGAATTGGAGGATCTTTAGGGTGGTGACAGACTAAAATCTCTAATTCGGTCTTAGTGTTTAAAAACTAAAGCTGAAGGGAAGTGGGAGCTCTGGAGTGGGAGCCAGTATCCTCCTAGCCTAGCCACATATTTAGGGACTAAACTTGAGATTAGCCAATGATTTTCTATAACACTGTATCAGGGTAGAGAATTAAAACTGCTTCTATTTGGCATAATACATATTTGAACCATTTATCTCATCTCATTTTACTAAAACCTCATTATAGTGGGAAAGATGATTTTTCACATAAGAAATCTTCATCACATAAACATAGTTTAATATTTTAGTAGTTATTATTTAAACTTTGTATTTCAGTTTTGTTATTAGTTAAATAATTTAGTTCTGATAGTATCTCAACATTCAAAATTAGTGCCAATAATTTCATTTTGACTTTCTGTGAATTTCCTAGTAAATTTATCATTTCAAATTTAAACCTTCCCCGTGAGATCGATATTTGGGGCTTAAATAGAAAGTCCTTTTTTACTTGATAACGATACGTATACTTGCGTAGAATCCCAACATTAATTGCTTAAATTTATTATTAATAAAATATTGCATCAAGCTTTTGGCACCGTTGCATAGCGGAGTTAACTTTATAATTTTTACACAACTATATTCTCGGGATCATGTGCAAAGAACTTTTTACATCTAAAGCTCTCCTTAGGCAGTTTGATAAAAGTTTTATTTATCTTCTTACAAACCAAACTTTATACACATATATTCATATGAATAAAATTTGAAATACAAAGAAAAAAAATTGTTATAACTATAATCCTAGAAAAAAAATTGTTATAACTATAATCCTCAAACAAATTCATATGAATACAATTTTAAATACTAAGAAAAGAAATAGTTATATCTATAAGCCTAAAATTTGTAACATTACAATGTTATTTAATTTATGATAAATAAACAACTATCATTACCATAAATAGTTAAACATGAAATATAAAGAAGTGATATAGAATTTTATTGTGTCAAGGTATAGTTTTATTTTCTTTAAGTTAAGCACTCTCTTACTAAGGTTTTCATAAAAGATAAAGATTTAAATATATGTTCACACAAATAATATTATCTAGGCTTTATAGTGGAGCTTAATAATCAGATTGTATGGTATCAACACAAACTTGTAAAAATTATACATGATAAACTATCTACTAATATAAAGTAAATAACCAAACAAAAAGTTTCTTGAGCAATTCTCAAGTATTTATATGCATGTCCATCAAATGAAAATCTTCTTAGTTGTCCAAAATTTTAGACCAAATATGTTCCTTCCTTAACTTCATTTGATACCAAATATGATGATAATGTGTGAATTTTTGGTGAGATTAAAGAAGTGTGATAGCTTTTAGTTTTAATTAAATATTTAAAGAAGTGTTTTGGAGTTTATGATGGAGTGATGAGATATTAGAGGGCTTATAGTGATAAATACCAAGACTAGTCCCAAATAAGCCAATTTTGGGTTGATTTTTAAGATGAATTTGAGGAAGTAGTTTAAGACTATGTAAATGATTAAAAATTCTTATGGATGGTTATCTTAGGATGTATATTTTCTTATCTAGAGTGGATGATTTGATTTGAATGGGTTTATATGAGTCTAGAAGAGTAGGGAACAAAAATAAGGCCTTAGTATTCTTTAGCTTGACCGAGAGCTATGTAGAGGTGTTTAAAATGGCTGGGAGGTTTGAATTGTTGTCTTGTTAATTTTATAAGATGCTTAGGCATGGAGGAAGAGTGGTGAATAGCTTAGATCAAGTGTTATGGAGGGATAGTAAATAACTTAAAGTAAAAATGATAAATATTTATTTTATCCCAATAAAAGACACACCAAAGCTACCAATCATCAAACTAAATAGAGCCAAAATTTTCTCAAATTGATTCACTCAATAACTAAAAAGAGATTCAATAGATACCAACGCTATTTACAAAGTACACATTGAATAAAAAACTAGAAAAAAAGAGAAAAACTTTAGAAGGAAGATAGGTGGCCATTATGGACAATCCATATAAGCCTCTAAATTTGAAAATTCAATATCTTTATAGCTAAAATTGTAATTTAACTAAAAATAAATGAATAAAATAATTATTTTTATTGAGCTCTTATGATGTGCCTTGATTGGGCTCATAATTGGGCACCTTCTTGGGCTTTTAAAAATAGACTTCAAACTTCATTTGCTTGATCTACATGATGTATCATATCTCCAACTCTTTGAGAGTTATGAAGAAAATATAACATTTCAATGCATCATAGGTACTCTATAAATATATTATAAATGGCCAGAACTTTATCTATAATATTTCAAAGAAGAAATCTTAAACTTCTTTGGACGTTAGACCTCTACAATCTCCTTAATGAAAGCATTCTCCAGTTGTCTCTTCATCCTTTTCATTGTTTTTCTCCTCATTGGCCTATCATCAAAGGGTGATGACTCTTACCTATATGATTAGTAAACTTCAACCTCTTTGCAAGATTAGAGGTCTCTCCACACCCTAGTAATAGGTAATTTCCTACGCACCACCATTTTCAATGAATTGGAGGCATCACTATATGTGGTATTACCCTTAGTACATGCCAATGTATCTTATATTATCATTGTCATTTACTTTTTGAGCTCATTCATATATTAAACAATGAACTCCCTTGTGTACTTCATGCTCTTTGAATTCTCTCTACTGCTTTTTTTCTCTATAGAAAGTTGTTTTTCAACTCTGTAGCATACTTCATGCTCACTTCACCTTTGAGGAAATTTGGTCACCAATTATCATTGAAACGCATCACCAAGGTAAGAGTTATAAAAAGCAGATATAAACCGATAACAAAAAATGGAATGAAAGAAAGCTTTGAGAATTTTTTTTAAGAATTTACTACAGAGATTCATTCAATCTCCTTTGCCAAGATGGCCTCCGCTATTTATAAGTTTGGCTCGGGTTGAGATAAGCTTCATAAATTGCTATACAAGCAAATACAAAATATATTTGCTAAAAATAAAATAAAATAAAATAATGGTTATATAAGATGATAGCTTACACATCTTAGTGATCTATTCCTCACTTAGAGGAGTTGATAATCAAATTAACTTGCGAAGTTGACTTGCCAAACTAGCTTACTAAACTAGTCTGCCGAGTTGGTCTGCTTAACTAGTCTATCATAGCATGTCAAGTTGGTTTGCCAAACAAGCTCGCAGAATTGGCCCTTGAAGCTGTTAGATGAAACCTCATCACTAGGACCTTGTAGAATAAGCTCAAATGCTCCACTTAAACTTGAGTTTTTGGCACACTTTTGGCTTGAACTTCTAAGTTGGGCTCTATTTATCAGAATTTAGCTAAATAACGATAGTTGGCACTGAATATGACACTCATCATGAACAATCAAATGAAAGAAAATGTTTAATTTTATAGCATGCAGCACACCAAAACCCATGACAAAATTTACCCAAGATATTGCCATTAATATTGCTTGCTTAAAGGTCGACTATATATCTTTATAGAAATTTAACATGATAAGATTTTTTGTCTCACAAAAATCTCCAAATAAAATTATTCGTTTAAATGCTTTTTTAATTTACTAAGCTTAGACATGTGTACAACTAGAGCACAAACATAGTTTGGGAAAATTTCATCTAACCTGCAACAAATTGGTCAAATAATTAAAATACAAATTAACAATGAATTACCATAAGGAGCTATTTGGTTTGATGTAAAATGCATACAAAATATTTGAAATGTAAGCATTTTGAAAATATTGATGTTTGATTTCAAATAATAGAAATCAAAGTAAAACTCTAGGGAACAATATAATTCTTTTGTAATCAAATTTAACGAAGTTCATCAAGAAGCTGCAAGTTGCAGCGACCATTGTTGTCACCCATCGCCACCCATCAACCATCATTGTCACCGCTCATCGCAACCACCAACCAATATCCATGCACTCTGTCTTTGGGTTTTACATTAAATTCATTTAACTTCAAATCAAACAATGAAAAAATAATATATTGTTATTTATTTTGACTATCTTAAACATTTCAACTACATTTTTCCTTTTATTATGCAATTTTTTAACAAGAAAAAAACAATCTCTTAGTTGACATGAACTCTGTGATTATCCAAACTCAATATGTATTTGAGTGGAATAATTATCTCACTATTAATTGCAAAAACCCATTGGGATTCACAAAGTATAATTTAGTTTGCTTAACAAAAATAAAATGGTAATTAACGCAACATCGAATGAGATCTCAATGAACAACATCTAATACCACATGAATCTGAATGCAAATTATCCACAAGTGATACACACAGCAAGCACAATAGTTACTTTCAAGATCAAGAATAGTAGATCTTTTATCTGATCAATCTCGTTTTATTGCTCCATCAAACAATGAAGTGAATGAAAAAGGTTAAAATAGAATGAGAAGCTAATCAACATCCAATGAACTGATCTAATGAGCTAAATTTCATCGTCTTTAGTGGTAATAAATCTTCTATATTTCGTGTGTTTGGTGACCTTCGCTACAACCTCCAGTTCTTGATCTGTTGTGCTAATGGCTTTGTATGTATCTTTGTATCCAAAGTTGTTAATGTTCTCTGAGGGACCTTGAGGAATTCCACCACATCCTTCATTGTTTGCTAAAGTGGGAATTAACACAAAACGTCAAATTTGAATAATAGAGACTTAAATGAACAACATGCAATACTACATAAATCCAAATGCAAATTATCCACAATTTCTACAAACAACAAGAACAATAGTTACACTTTCAAGATCTACAACAATAGATCTTTCACCCAATCAATCTCACTTTATTGCTCGATCAAGCAATAAAGTGCAGAAAAAAAGGTAAATAGAATGAGAAGCTATTCAACATCAAGCCAACTGATCTCATGATCTAAATCTCATAGTCATTAGCAGTAATAAATCTTCTATATTTTGTGCGATTGATGACCTTCGCTACAGCCCTCCAGTTCTTGATCTGTTGTGCAAGTGGCCTCGTGTGTATCTTTACATGCCCACTAGTCAATGTTCTCTCAGGCACCTTGAGGAAGTCCAACACGTCCTTCATTGTTTGCTAACAATCAGAGAAGGCCAAAACGATTAGAGTTTAGTCTAGTTACAAGTGCTTGCATGTTTGGCTATTCATTTCATTTCTATTTTAAAATTTTTGAATTCATATATATTTTTCTAAAAGTAAAAACTACTACTATGTTCACCATTATCATTAATAATCTTATCCCAACTACTTATAGCTTAATACATGAATCCTCATTTTTCATTCATTTTTGTTGAGTTTTATTCCAGGTGCAAATTGTAATCTTTGTAAAATATTTTGAACAAGTGATCTACCTTCCATCCTAATTCTCTAACATTAATGCTATCAATTTGTGTAATTTGCACATTTTCAACCCTTTGTTTAGTCATCTTAGTTTTGATAAGTGTCACTCCAACATTTTCTCAAATATAATAACTTCCTAATTTATGTTTCATAATTTGCCATCATAAATTCATCTTATCATTCTCATTTTTTATAGCACTCAACTTAAATATAAACTTCTTTGATTACAACACAATTAGGATCTTTACGATAACAAAGGTGCAGTTGCAATTTTATAATGTTTCTCATTAGGCTTCCATACTATTTTCTTATTACAAAAAAACACCGAAGGTACATCTCTTGCTTATTAAATGCATATTTAAAACATATTTTATAAATATATTTTAGAATATATTTTGTACAGTTGAAGTTTAGAACATGAATATTTAAAATATTTTTGATAAAATATGAAAATTAGAAAAAAAAAGAGGATTTGAATGAACATGCCTTATATAGTAAAAAAGATGAATTAAGAGGTTTTAAGAACATGATTGCTCATAAGTTTCACAATGTTGTGTAAAGCTTACAGTCTGATTTTGAACAAGATCTTCATAATAGACGACCATGTGGCGAGTGCCACTGAAGTTTCGTAGAGTGTCAGCAGCCAACATCTCCATATGTTCCAAGGCAGGGATTAAACGCTTTACATCAAGTTTGGGCTTGTAGCTTGCAAGGATTTCTGCCTGCATATATTAACTTGTTAAAGGGGGAGAAAAATGATTAGTTAATTGCTTTTGAAGTAATAAATAGCTTCATACTGCAAGAAGCATAAGTGAGATTTCGAGACCTCTTGTTTGGAGTTAACATGAGCTTTATGAGTCCCATTCAATCCCTTGACTTTGCCGTCATGATTGTTCGATTTTAGAGAAACCAAACGGCGAAGATGATTTCTTCTGAGCAAGAGTATTACAGATACTCCCCTATGGTTGATGTAATCCACAACCCCTTCATGGTTATCCAAGATCCCCTGCAAAAGTTAACACACTAATAAGTATAAAATCTGTAAAGAAATAGTCTTTGGATCATAGACTCATTGATAACAAAAATTTTTCAAAGATAAAAGTCATTAATAGCACAAGTACTTGTTAGGAGGGTAATGTGCCTTTGAAATGGTAATAGAAGCTCACCTTAAGTGCTGTAGAAAAAAATATCATTTGAATGTTATAAGATATGAATTGGACTAAATTTGATTTAAGGGGTACGCATAGAGGTATTTGGTTAATACCTGATTACTCATTTGATTTCGGTTGATTCTCACCCTCATTTATTCCTCTATTGCTTCTTTCTGATATACATTGGCTATAGATGTCATTACTGGTTGAATAACTTCCTTGATTGAGGCTTATTCTCACACAGCATTAATTCTACTATTTCACCTATTAGATGTACATTCTTGTATATGAATTTCCTAATGGACAAAACTTTCTTTTTGAGGCCGCTCTTATTTAAGTTATGGAGCAAAATTAATATTGACACCGTAATAAGCATTTAAGAAAATTATATATTCTGACCATTTTGATTGCCACATTTAACCTTTTGCATAGAGCACAAGAATCATATCCACGACTCTATTGATGCCTTGCCTCAAGTCCTTCTACTAGAGACTAAACATCTAGTTTATCTCAAGCTTGAAAAAGGGTTGCCAAACTTGATTTGGCGATAAATAAATTCTTTAAAGCTTAGCTGACATTCAAATTTATTATTTCTTGTGACGGTTTTTGTCATGGATTTATCTTGCTCTATTATTTTTTGATTGTTTTCTAGATTCCTCTAGGTTACTTTGCTTTCAGCTATTGGCTCTTAGGCCTCTGTTGTTCTGCACTATTTGAGGCTTGAGTTTATAATTCCTTTTCACCTAATTTTTTCATTGGTTTTTTTATGTTTTTGGAAAGTTGTCATGGTGGATGATTGACTTCGTGGTCTCACCATGTTTTTTGATGCCATAATTTGGCCATTGCTGATTTTAAAAGCAAAATAAGGCTGGACAAGATTTTAGCTATGATGTTCGATACTACTTTGAGACTTAAGATTTTAGCTATGATGTTCGATACTACTTTGAGATTTGAAGAAACGGAGAATAGTTAAATAAAATTTCAATGTTTTGTACCTTATAAAGAAATATTTTATACATGTCATCATTGTTTTGCACAAACTTCATATCAAATGTGAAAGATAAAGAATGATTTATTAAAACATGGAAGGAACTCAATATCATTTTCCAACAGAAAATCACATCACCGATTCAACCTGAAGAAAAAAAAGAGAATTTCTTTGCAAAGTAATCGCAAATTCACTCTTTGTGAATTAGCTTAGACAGCAAAAATATCAATGTTTATATACTATTTTAGTTGTGAACAAACTGCAATGACTTCACTATTTACCAATGTTCGATCATCTATATCCAATTCCAAGTAACAAGCATTATTAAAGGCATGATCTTAATCACTTATTATAAGTTTGTATAAACAGCAAATCACTGCTTACTTCACAAGATAAGATGATATATGTTCAACATAATCGTCTAAGAAATATTTAAAATTGCAGCAGCACCATGTCTGGATCTGAATTCAGTAATGTAATTACTGAGGAGTTGAGGATGATTTTTGCCTTTCCTAAATTTAAGAAATTTTTTTTATAAATTTTGAGTTTCTTTTGTTTCAATGAAGGTGTTTAGCTATATGACATTGTGAATTACATTAAAACAAAAATTACTTGATTAAGCATCCACTTGAAGCCAACAGCAGCCATGCAGCTCTTCTTCTTCCTCCTGAAACTGCTGGTAGTATTCCAGTTGCTACTGCACACTTTATCCAACACCTTTTTGATCACCGTCATGTTGCATTTCCTGTCAACATTGTAAAAGATCTCCCCATGCGACCATATATTATCATGGCTATTGAGCAAAGCCTCAAACCATTTACTCCCAGACCTTTGTAGTGACACAATTGCATAAAGAGAAGCATGCATGCACCCACTTTCAACCCTGTGCAACACAAAAACATATAACCATAGAAAAGTTTAGAAGCCTAAAAAATAGAAAGAAAAAGAAATGATTTTCATTACCTGGTATAAGTTTTAGTATTGTTGTAGTTGAAATCATGAAGCAGGGATTCTGATTGTTTTGGATCAAGAAAAGGCGTTTCATTTACTTTCAAGGCAGGAGGCAAAGTTAACACAGATGTGTTTACTCTCACTAAATGCGGAAAATTTACTTCTTCCAAATTGGGACTCACAACAAAGGACAAATTTTGTTCTTTCAAATTAACTCTCGTCAAACCTGGCAGATTTTTTTCTTCTACGGATAAATCTGGCGGATTTTTTTCCGTCAGGTTAAGTTTCAAAAAATTGGGCAAATTTTTATTTGTCAAATTAACTCCGACAACATGGACCAGAGCTTTTTCTGTCAAATTAGCTCTTTTAATACGCGGCTGGCTGGGCTCTTCCATTTGCTTGAGGAAAACAGAGCAGATACAAACACTGCCAGTCATGGCAGCAACTAAAACAACCATCTTTAACACCAGAGGTGATCTCCTCGAAGGATTTGCAACGAGAGCATCCTGCAACTATAAGACAGGAATTAAAACTGATTCTCCGAATTACTTGAGGAGTCAAAAGAAGAAAACTTGAAATCGTCAGATTTGGATAAATAAAGCATGAAAACAAAACAAGGCAGAAGGGTGAGGAATTTTCTCAGATTTTGAATACAGACAGCAAATCCAGGTCAAATAATTACTTCTGCATGGGAGTTCAAATGAAGGCTGATAGATGCATTGGTCTATCACTCCCAAGCAGGAAACTTGAAAGAACAGAATGATTGAGAGCGAACCTTCTTAGGTACAAAGCCGTAGTCTGTCATCTTCATCTTCTTCTTTTAACTCCCTTTTTTTCAGCCTACTCTCAGAAACATCTTAATCTTTTCCAAACAGACGGCTTTAGATTTTAAAAAGCAAAATGAGGAAGAGTGCATCCGGATATTGAAAACTAAGGACAAATCAAGATGAAGTAATTACTTTTACCTTACGTTTGGATTAAATGGCAAATAAGCACAGGGCCGGGCCATGAGAGTCGAAATTAAGAGAAATAACAATAAAAATAAACAGTTTTGAAATCGAACCTTCAAGGGGAAATAACTCACGAAGTGGAGAAAACAGTAGCCGGTGGGTGAGCGTAAGAGCTTTCATCATCAGCTCCTTGGATGCTTTGCAAGGATAAGGTGATTTTGAGCGTACGATCGGCTCTGCAGAACGTGCATGTTCAAATATTGCTAAATCAACGACTGTGGTTGGGTTAAAGACAGAACTTTCATGGCCCAGTGATTAAAATACGTAGTTATATTTTATGAAAATTAAGGGTGTAATTGCAGCTTGAAAACAAGACGGTTGGATTCGACACGCATTCCGGGTTCAACATAAAAATTAACCGTATTTTCGAATAAGCTGTTCAAACATAATTTTCAAATGTTGAAGCCGTCACAGCGGATAAACTGCTCTAAACGGAGCCTAAATGGGGCTATGTATTTTGTAATTTATCGTTAATTCATTTATTTGGATTAATGGCGGGGCATCAATTTTGATTATTAGCAGTATCCATAAATACGGAAACCTCCATAACCTGTGCTTTATTAAGACATGACCACGTGGCTTGTGGCTACATCTTTTGTCATTTGGCGCTTGCAAGAATAACCATTCTTTTGCTTATAAATAAATAGAAATTAAAACCTCCCAAATAATCAATTAATGATATCCGTATTTTAAGCTCATCATACCGAGCGCTTATTGCGTACGGACATCACACATAAATTTACGTGCGATGTCTGATCTGAATCACTGAAATACATCTTTTCCATTTTTTTTTAAAATTTTAAAGTGAGACCCACTCTAAATTTTTTATTGTCCAGATCAGACACGCACACAAATTTTACGTGCGGTGTCCGCACACAATAATTTTTCATTCTGATCGAGAAGTTCATTCTCTTTAAGATCATCATGCAATGATAATCCCGTACCTTATGAATTATAATACAAGTGATAACATATAAAAAGGAAAAAAAATAGAAATATTACTATTTTATAAGGAGTAGTTGTTATATCATATAATCTTGATGCTTAGTGGTAGATTATTACATTGGGCGAATTTAAAACTTTATAATTTTAATATTTATTTTAAGTTGTCGGTAATGTTTATTTATTTATTTTAATTTTAATTTATTATTTCATGAACTTTGCTGACATATAAAGGATAATGAACTTTTCTAATCATATTATTAATGAATCCGGTTGGCTTGTTTTACAGACAGTTGCTGTGTCAATAAATACATTACTTGTTGAGATATATGTAAATAAATATCATAGAAAATATGGTGTTGAGTTTTACTTCATTTTGAGTGTAAAACTATTGCTTTTTTTATTTTTTTTTAAATTATTATCGCTGTTCATTAACAAATTTTTATTAAGAATGAATCTCGATGTATTTTTGATAAGAAATCTTTCAAACTCAAATTTAAGATTATCCAGGCATTGATTTCATTAAGTTTATAGTAACATCGACAGCCTAGACAAGATGAACATAATGATATCAAAATTGGTCCATTCTAACTCCAATCATTCCCAGATCAAGCCATTGAAGCACAATTGGAGGCTTTGGATCGACATTTGAATGGTCCAATAAACTTTAAGTTTGTTATTTTTATAATCAAATCGAACGTCTAGACAAGCTGAATCCAACAAAACCAAGATTACTAGATTTGGAGATTATTAAGACATTTAAATCATTGAAGTATCATATATGATCATGGGAGATCTATAAGGACTGTCTGATCGGGTGGTTTAAAAGGCTATAAAAAGACTCGCTTTCTTCACTTGATGGGAGTGGGGAAAAAAAGAGCAATTCTATAGCTTGTTCTGGAGAAAAGGCGACCCAATAATAACCATCGGCCTCCGTAGCCACCAACCACCATCGGCCATCACTTGTTGGCCAACATAGGCCACCACCTTTTATCACCGTCTGGTGTCGACAATCCCCATTTGCAATTGTTATATTCTAAATATAATTGTTTGTGTCTAGCACCTATATTGAAGACCTAGCAATAACCACCGGCCTTCAAAACTGCGAACCACCATTGACCACCGTCTGTTGACCATAGTCGAGCGTCATTGCATGTCACCCTATTTGTAGTTGTTGTAATCTAAATACGGTTGTTTTTTTTTCTAACACATATATTGAAGAGATAGACATATCTATCATGTTTTGTAGCTGTCAACCACATTCCACCATTGTCGTCATAGTCGGTCGTGATCGCCTGGGGTCGTCGTTAACCACTGGTTGTCGATGACCACTGTCTGCAACACATCATATTCTAAATATGATTGTTGTTTCTAACATCAGTATTGAAAACTTGGTGATAACCATCAACCTCCATCACTGCCAACCATTGCAGACCGCCAAGCATTAGTCACCATAGACTATTGTTGGTTGTCACTG